AAGGGAAGGGAAGGGAAGGGAAGGGAAGGGAAGGGAAGGGAAGGGAAGGGGAAGTTTATCTGCCAACACTTAGACTTAATTTCCATTGTAAAATCATGATCAATATTTTGTTCAGTCATGTGTCTAAGAAGTTAAAATGTCATTTTTATAGCTAACATTGTTCCCACCTTCAGCAAAATTAGTTTTTAAAACAGTGTATCTTCCTATTTTGTTTTTTATTTCTGTGCAGAAACAGCCTCTGTGAAATGCTTATTACACTACTAATGAACTAAGGAGTTCATTCAGGCATCTCAGTATTTCAGAACACCAGTTCTTCAAGAAAACACTCTCCACTTATTTATTTCCAATAAGAATTTTAGGCACTCCTTTGATGACTGTTCTTCCAAAAGTAAACACAAACTTTTAAATGAGCATATTGTAAATTGAATTAAATTCCAGATTATCACACAAATAATTTTACTCATTTTGATCAAAGGCATCTGCTGTGTAAAAAAAAGAAAAAAATTTCTTACAAAATACAATAAATCACTTTCAACGAGAACACTAATATAAATAATCTACTTGCCCACAGCTACAAAACTTCTAGACATACAAATGCTCCCTGTTAGAACTAAGCCCATGGATTTACTTGGTTGTGTGCATTTCATCACGTATAAAAATCTTTGTTACACATTTGATTTGCCTTTGGATTTTAAAGTCAGAGGATCAAATAATGAGATTTCAGCCTCCGAGGCTCCCGTGGGCAGACCCAGAGCCACAACCACCTGCGGAGATAAAGACAAAGCCCCGCACTTTCCCGGAGACGAGCCCGGCGCTCGCACCAGCTCCCCACCAGAGGGGGATCACGGAGTCCCACAGCCCGCCCCAAAATCCCGACCTTAAAGGGGAAATGTGAAAGAAAAAGGTTGTGCTGGCTGTAGTGGCTCACTGCTACGAAGACAGTGCTGTGTGGCACCACGACGCCCTCGGCTGGACGCGTCAAAGCAAGCTTGTCCCTTGGTGGCTGGAGCTACAGAGCCCAGGACGATCCCGATGTGCGGGACCGTGACTTTGTGTCAACAGGCGGGACTTGGCCAAGGCTGCTGGGGCATTCAGCGTGTTACACCGCCTTGGAGTGAAGTCCAACCTGACATCTGTTTGCCTTCCGACAACAGCACCTTTGCTCTAAATAGATCCGAAAAGAAAGTGCTGAACCCCAGAAAGAGGAAAATGAACAAGCACTTCAAATTGTTCAAGCAATGACCCCGGTTTATGCATAAACAGATTGTCCTGTCTCATGCCAGGCATGTTCAGGGCACAAATTTCCCTATGATAAGGCCACATCACCTAGAGAAATGACACCAAAACCTCTGTGTAATGCTATAAAATGTTAAAAACTCTAGAATTAGTCTGTGCAGCAGTATGTATATATGTAAAGGTAACGCTGACATGCCCAGAGTAGCTTCAGGTTTAATAATCATCACTAAAGGTACTGAAAAATAGACAATCAGCACTTTCTGGTCTAAAGGTTTCTGTAACTTTGATGGTCTGCTCAAGGATGTTGAAATTTCATAGTAGGATCCTTGGAACAAAATCCATCATTCTGTACAAGGTTGCTAACACACAAAGTAGAGTGAACTTCTGATCTGTGTTTAAGATGCTGTAGTTAAAGACGGCCATAATTAGAATGGATTAGTGATATATTTTTTTAAGCAGCAGGTTGCAGACTTGTTGTCATAAACACTAAAGAAAACAGGTAGAGAGCACTCCTAGCCCCATGACAGTAGAAGACTGGGGAGTACAACAAAAAGTGGTCAGGCTCATATGTTCTTTCTGCATGGCATCCTTTATTGGTACTGCTAGCAACAGCACACTCAATGATGCACTGCAGTGTATTTGTTATGTTCCTGTGTCCTGACTCAAGGTGATAATCAGAATTAGCTGTTCACAGAAAATGTTCTATCATTACTGAAATTAGAAAGGCAACCTAATGAAATGTAATAATTAATACCATGATACTTCCCAACAGCAAGCCAACGTATTGTTTGTTTTAACTCCATAAGGCCATGTATGCACACTCAAATAATTAAACACATTTGGTTATGCACTTAAAAAATGGAAGACAAATTATTTCTTCTCCAAAGCAGGAAAAATGTAGCACAAAGCAGGGCTGGGTAACGACATGAAAAAGTCATTCAAAAAGTGAGCTAGCAAGGAAGTAGTAAGTGTTAGTAGTAAAGCGTGTGGGTTTTCTAAATCATGTTTTATCCTGTGTATTTGTTGTTCTCTGGAGCTGTTCTGACTTTTGTGTGTTCTTTTTTATTTGTAATGTAACATCAGATATAAATATCAGACAACAGTTTTAAAAAAAAGATGGCAACAAGTCTACAAACATTACAAAATCTGAACTCTTGAGAGTACAGACCACAAAAAACATGGCCTATAACTCTTGTTAATATTTATAGGAATCAGATGTGCACAGAGGAAAGACTACAGTGCTTTCACAAATCTTGAAACTGTCAATACAATATAATGCCCATGCACATGGACAAACAACATCATGTCCATGCCCTTGTATCTCACAACTAGGAATAATCACAGAGGTTATTAATGTTCAGTATGTTAGTAGCCTTCATTTTGACATTTATTTGAGACAGCTGTTTGAAAAGGGGTGCCAGCTCCTGATATGAACATAACCATGCAGGGCATTTTAAACCATCAGCTGCAGTGCCTTGGCAGCTTCCTGTTGTGTGGTTTTCACCCAGAGTACAAAGCAGCCACACATGTCAGTGTGGCAGGAAAGGTTCTGCTCACTTTGCTAGGTAATGTTTTGATATTTGGTAGTTATGATGGTTCTACATAGCCAAAACGAGTCAGCTATGCTGTTACTGATTATCAGTGGTTGGCTTGACGTGCCAGTTTATTTTTTGCAAAATAATCGGAAAGCTATCAGAAAATCCTCAGCACTCAAAAAATCCACTTTCCTCTTGAAAAAAACCCATAATTTTGGGCCTTTTAACACTACAGCTGTAAATCAAATAATTGTAGCAGCAACTTCTTTACAATCAGATAAACTGAAAACTCATGAAGGCAAATGATAATAAAATGCTGATAAAGTTGATTTTCTCTGTGAACAGCTGGAGAGACTCTCCTACGCAGTGAAGATTAAGAAATCATTCCAGGTAGCAGAGCAAACCCCCTGGAAGGATTATTCTATATGGAACAAATTCTGAGAAACTTTTCCATTTTCATCTAGTCCCCACTCAACCAAAAGGCTACTGAACCTAACCCTTATTTAGGAAAAGCTGACAGACATTAACAGGGGGCCTCTCTCAAAACAAGACTTTCTCTTAACTAAGGACCTGACATTCTGGCTTTAAAGTCAATAAACATTTATTGAATGAAAACCCTATCTCTTAAATCCATTCCTTTCTCTACCACAGAAATACTTCCTATGTCAGTATGAAAAGGCCTGATGGTAGATTTTTTTGCACAAAATTGGAGTCCTGGGATGACAGATTCTAGCAGGAATCAGAGTCACTCCATATGACCTATCACATTCATCAATTCTGGAAGCCAGTGTCTCTCAATAAAAACCACACTTACAAAAATGTACATTTTCTCCTGTCTGGGGCACTGACTGCTCTGTGGAAATCTGCAGGGTCTAAAGCTCACTGAGAGCAAAAATGATCTTTTAAGCTCTGTTGATGACCTTACTTTATTCCCAGCTCACACATAAAACATATAATGACAGGATAATTTATGTTGGAAGTCACTTCTGAAGTTCAACTCTTTCACAGCAGCACCAACTTCAAAGTCAGCTACTAATTCAAAGTCAGAGCAGGTTGTTCAGGTCCTTGTCCAACTAAGTTTTGCATATCTCCAATGATGGAGGTCTCACAACCTCTCTAGATAACCTGTTCTGTGCTTGACCTCCTCCATAATTTATTTCTCCTTCTACTTAATCACCTGTTGCAACCTGCGTCCCTTGCCTCTTGTAATTTTGCACTCCTCAGGATTCTCTTTTCAGGAGCCCAGGCATGAATTGCCTGTGACCACCAAGTCAGCATCTCATG